CCGCTGGCTTAACATAACGATTTTATCTGCAGTATTGAAATCTGGCTACGAAGTTTCAGTTCCAAAGCAGTTATAGATGGCGTATTGCTTCAGTTTGTTTCTCCTATACTGCTATATGTTTGTAGAGGTCTAGGACGAGTAACGTTTTGCGAAATCATTTATTGTTTTCTTGTCAAATATGTGGAATTCCTTAATTACGTTTACATAATATTATTTGAAAGATATAAAGAAATTTAGAGTTAGTCAATCATTCGTGATTAACGTCGAGCATAGATCTGTGTAAATTTCTTCGCTCAATCTCTATTGCAACAATGAATTCTATAGGTGATGATATTGAATTTATAAACGTTACCTGTCAATTCTCTGAATTTTGGAGTATTTTATTTATTTGTTTATTTGTCATTTATTTGACTTGCAGAAAAGAAACTTTGCCCTTTTATGGAGAAATGTTATCGAAAAAATCCGATTCACTTCGATGAAATGTCACATCCTCACTGTAACTATTTGTATATTTTTTTGATATTAATTTTATACGTAATTATTACATATATTATTATCGAATGTTAATAATTATCACTTTAATTTCAGTGGAAAAATTATTGGTAGATCAGCTGGATGGCACGATAGAAATACCAGAAGTGCTTCATTTTGCATGTAATGATCGTTCACAATTGTTGGATCAATTGAAAGTATTGCAAATAGTACTTAGAAGGGAGAGAAACAAAAATAAGGACAACCAGTTGTCTGGAATTGATAATTCATCTTTTAAAGAACAATCTTCTTCTACTACTAATGTATCAAGTACTAAAGATTTGAAGGATAAAGTAGAAAGACATAAGAAAGCTACAGTACAGAGGAGACAAGATAAACTTAAACAGATGGATGTAGAAGCTCAGGCACTCTCTAGAGCTTTGATCAGAGAAGAACGTGAAAATCATACAGAAACCATCAAGGTTAGTGAAATTCAGATTCATAATAAATTTGTGAATTTTACATTATGGAAAATAAACAAGTAAATATAACCTTATTTATTAGACAAAGAAGAGAAATATGGAGGCATCAGAAGTTGGCTCTTCTGTTACAAAGAAGATGAGACAGATGAGCATAGAAGGCAGCAATTGCACTAAGGATAGTCAGCAGAATGTTAGTAACTCTCAAAGCAGTTCTAGAAGCAATGAACAAAGTACAAGTTCAGGAACATCTATCATGGATATGTATCAATCCTGTGATTCCGAAAAGTCAAGGAAGGAAGTTAGGAAGAAAGCTATTCAAATGATGAGACAATCTGGATATACAGTGTCCATCGTAGAACCAGGAGAGTTTGCAATAAAATATGCCTTTTCAGCGCCTTATCACTTATTCTTCACGAGAATCGAAAATTCAAAGGAGACTTATAATCAACAGTTTTCCATAACATTCCCTGAGATTCTCGACCGTAGTCTTGGAGAAATTATTAATAGTCTTCATTTAAATTTTATGGTAGACGTCGGATGGTTATGCTTGCAGTATTTATTGGCTGGTCAATGTACTGATATGATGATTCTGTACGGTGATAGAGTAGATCATGAGAAATTGAACAACAACATTACCATGATAGAAGTAGATATGCCGACCAAGTTTGGTTGCCATCATACGAAGATCATGATCCTGCAATATAAAGATGATGGGATCAGGGTGGTTGTTTCCACTGCTAACTTATATTCTGACGATTGGGAAAATAGGACACAAGGGTCTATTAAATATTCTTAGATATTCATTATTAATATAATGTTTGTCCATAATAATCCTTTTATTGTATCTTGATTAGATTGTGGATCTCGCCTCATTTGCCCCGGCTACCAGAATCAGCAAATCCTAGTGATGGGGAATCTCCAACAGGATTTAAAAAGGATCTCGAACGATATTTGAATAAATACAGACATCCGGCATTGACGCAATGGATATCTGCGGTACGGAAGGCTGATTTTTCGGATGTGAACGTGTTCCTCGTTGCTTCTGTTCCTGGGACTCACAAAGATAACGAAGTCGATTCTTGGGGGTATAAGAAATTGGCGCACGTCCTATCGCGTTATGCCACATTGCCACCAGATGCTCCTCAGTGGCCTATAGTTGCACAGAGTTCCAGCATAGGCAGCCTTGGTCCAAACTTCGAAAGTTGGTTGTCAAAAGATATAATTCCGTGTATGTCAAGGGAGACTACAAAGGGTTTAAAGAGTCATCCGCACTTCCAGTTTATTTACCCTTCGATAGAGAATTACAAGCAGAGCTTTGATTGTCGAAATTTATCTTGCTGTTTGCCCTACAGTGCAAAAGTGCATTCTAAACAACAGTGGATAGAATCCTACTTATAGTAAGTTACAGTCGTTTTATTATTACTTTATTCATCTTTATTTCTTAGAAGCAATTCTTTTTTTCCTACAGAATTTGATATTTATTTCTATAGCCAATGGAAAGCCAAGCGAACAGGACGAGATCGTGCGATGCCTCATATTAAATCCTACACAAGAATTTCGCCCGATTTGAAAAGTATTTCCTGGTTTGTACTTACCAGTGCAAATCTAAGTAAAGCTGCATGGGGAGTCCAACGAAATAATCATTACATAATGAGCTACGAAGCTGGCATTATATTTATACCAAAACTTATCGTAAGCATCATATTAATAGTTTATGACGTGTTAAATGTTATGAATATGTATTATAGAAATGTACTAAAGACGCATGTTTTAATCAATTAATATTAATTATTATGTCTGAACGTTGTTTGTATTCAGACCGGGACAACAACATTTCCTGTTGAAGACGAAGAAGATCCAGCCGTTCCGGTATTTCCGATTCCATACGATCTTCCATTGTGTCGATATGAATCGAGTGACAGTCCTTTCGTCTGCGAATTTCTGACCTCTCTAGACAGAGTGTAATTTTTCAGCTTATGACAGTGTCTTCTTTTTTTGTCTCCAATGAAATAATATTTTTGCATATGTTTGTATATTTATTTACATGTATTTTTACAAAATAATGAAGTATTAAACGTCAATTTTTTAAAAACCTTTCCTTTGAAATTTTTAGAAGTGTGTAGGAAACGTAGTTTATAGTTTTGATTTAAAGAATTCAAGGCCTTGATCACAAGTGTTGGAAGTTAGCTTTCGACTTAGCTATTCAATTATTTATATCCGTGGGTATTATTTTTAATGACTCAGTATTTAATCGAGATCGTATATGATATATGATTATTTATATATGGGAAAAAAGTAAGGAAGTGATAAATTGTTATTCATTACTTCCTTATATTTTGTGAGAATTCTCGTATAGCGCACGACTTCTTCAGTCTCGATTTCGCGACGAATTCGTATCCATCGCTTCGGACGCGTTTTCCATAAAACATCAGTACGAAAACGCTTCCTCGATGCGAGAATCGAAACGTAATATTAGCGTTGTCCGTACATGCTTAGCCTTCAAATGGCTGTTAATCAAATCATGATATATATGCAGTAATTACGCCTATCATACGCACGTTGGATAATGTGTTTTTTCTACATATGTGTATATATACATATGTATAATTTATAAAAAAATACGCGAACTAGCGAAAAGTTTTCAAGTTATACAAATACATCACTCTGATTGTAAAGATAACAAAAATACAAGCAATTTTTTTAAATAAATCATTAATTGACTTTAATGTAAAATGGAGAGGAAATAGGTATACGTTTCTATTTTCATGAAATATATCTATATATATTACTGTTATGCAATTCCATTTTCTTCACATCCGATTTCAGAACATATTTTCTTATCTTTTGTAGTATTAACGCATTTACTATGAAACAATGCAAACATCACTTCCCTCAGTAAACAAGGAACGGCGCGATTCCGCAAAGCTTTGCATTTCATCGATAATATTGCCTATAGTGATAATCTTGCTACATCGAACTTTTCAAGGATATTGACGGAAGAGCGGCATATAAAACGATGAAGCTGACAAATATAGTCTCTAAATGATAAAATTTATAATTTATTGTCTTGAAATCAATATAATAATTACTTTTAATAGCAAATTTGACGATTTTTCATGCATGTAAAGGCGTGAATTTATTCATAAATTCAATTTTGTTAAGGTTTGTTTATTTACTATTGTATTTCGGATACGTTATTACAGATTTTGACGTCAATGAAAAAAATACATAAATAAAAATTCTTATAAGATATATTAATATTTATTTATAGAAATATAAAAATTCCACTTTATACATTTAATGTAAATAAAAATTATATTAAAATATAAATATTTTTTAATAAAATATTTGTAATCGATAGAATGGATTTGTAAAATACATTGGGGTAACTCCCCTTGTGTTTCGATAATCAATAAATAATCATATATATTTGAAATTGAATCATGCCTAACCAGAAACAAGCTATGTGTAAAAGCTGTTCAATTAAAATAAATAGATTTTATTCTATTCCAAAATAAAAGAAAACTTTTCAGTATATTTTATGAGCGTATTTTATCAAATACAAATATTGTTTTACTAAAAATATTTGTATTATATTTTGCAAGAATTTTCATAATGTCATTAATCTCAGTAAGTGCTCGGGATCTTTAAAAAGAATTTAAACAGCAATAAAATAAAGAAAATTTATGAGTCTATTAAAACATGAATACCGATAACATTTGTTTAATTTTATTATAATCCTTATTGCGCGTACGATTATTGGATCGATCATCGATGCGCCGATCTAGCAGCATGATCTCAACCCTTTTAATTAAAGACTTTGATTTGGCCTTTTTATTTTATTCGCGGCTTATGGGATCAATCATATATTAAAACTTGTTAGCCATGACGTCAAGTTTTCTGAATCGCTCTGTACCTCCCACCCAAAAGCCGGACTTCCTAGTCGGATGTCCTCGGCGCAGATGCGGCTTTTGGGAAGGGACATTTCTCGGTGCCGGCAACGGCCGCCAATCGAGGACGTCGATCATCAGTACACGAGATGTCATCGGTAGGATAAGATCTCTCTATCGGACGTGTGTACGTACCGGTGTGTGAATCTTACTCCGCTTATTCCTCCGTTTGGTACTGCGTCCCAACCTCGTCTTCGGAAGATTTTGTCGGATTAGCGCACTCGTCGTAAAATCTACCGGAGGTTCATCAGAGATCTCGTAAGTGTTAATCGAATGAGATACGTCAAGGAAAGTGACATTGTGCGTATTACATAAAAAGCTGGACTTTGTATGTAGACGCTAAATTTTTGGGAAAAGAACAATACAATTGCGGCACGATGGGTCAGGGAGAACGTGTTCCGCCTGATAATGTGATAGTAAACGCGAAAGTATCGAAAGCGGGCTTCTATGCAGTGCAAAAGCCTATTGCTTCATCTTGTTCGATTCTTCGCCGATTCTTTTGCCAGTGAAAACAATCGATTAGCACACCGACGCTAATCATGCTCGATTCAATTTTCTTCCCTTATTTGAACAAGATAAACATTACACACACACGCCGTATGTATCATGTATTATCTTTCGACAAAATAAATCGCCTTTTTTACAAGACTAGAAATTCTTAGAGAATTCTTTTTCACGATGATGTTACGAATTTACAACAAATGAGTTGCAAGTACAATTAGTTAATAATTGGTGATTTCAAAAGAATTTTATTTGAAATAATTACAAATCTTATATCCATATAGTATAGGCCTTCAAGAGAAGTTTTAAAAACGTTCAAAAAAAGTCCTTACATCCTATAGATGCTCCCAGAACATCCCTCGGATTTAAAGTATGGGTAGGAAATACAGGAACCGGTTCTCTGACTCGTTTTTCGCTTACCTTCAGATCGGCAAGGCTACAGAAATACATTAAGACAGGTGTAACATTTCTATCAATGCAAAATATCTAGAATAAATTTGGGCTCTTTAATTAGCTGTTCTAGTATGCTGTTATATACGCAATGTTATATCCGGTTTTTATATCATGGACAAGGTTATAAAGCGTGTGCGGATTATTTTCTTTCATTTTATCATTAATTTTGTGTTAGGCTACTTTTGGGAAGAAAATACTATTAGTCCTATCATGTCATTTTGTCCTTGTTTTACATCTAATAAACGATAACGTGAAATACAATAGTGCTGATAACGCACTCTCTGAACGCAACTCATAAGTCTGATATGATTTTTATCATTCTTTGAAGTTTTTTAATTGACAAATTGTTTTATTAAATAATTATTAACGTTATCGGTATTATATTTTATTAATTTATTTTGATATATGAATTTTTGTGTGGGAAAGATCGCTGATAGTCAATTGTCAGTTGTCAATAAAATTATTTATTTAGCGTCGATGTGTGTATGTGTGTCAAGCTACAATTTTAATATTTAATATTTGCAACACGCATGCCGTAATAAAATTCGTTACAATCGAAAGAATGTATGGTTATGAACGAAGATATTATTAGCTTTTACTGTAATGTGAAGTATGAATTGTTCGTGCTAAACTTCAGTCCAAAAACCCTGACCCTCGGACGCCGGAGATCAAGTCTAAGTCCAGATTTTAATTTCTGTCAACACAAGGCTCACAAGAATGACATAATCCAACATTTTAAGATGAATCTGTTGACGTCGCTGCAATTTGTTCGCGATTTTTCGAAATGGTGCAAGCGCAACCTGCATTCTTATTGATGGAACGAGGAACGCCGTCGACCGCCCAGACGAATCGATAAACCGGTGCGAGTGGTGTTGCGGCGGTGGAAGATATCCAAGAGTCTAGCCACCTCCGACCGGAGAGCGTTCGGCTTGTCGCCGGATTGATTTTTGTGAAGCAGCAACCGCGCGGCGCGAGGATGATGACTTGTTGGGTCCTGGTCGGGGTGTTTGTAACCATCGTGCTCATTTATGGCCTCATCGAATTTCATTATTTTCTACGCATGTTCCTCACCGTCTTCCTCGCGCGTTACTGCAAAAAAAGGGTGCACATCCTTGATGAAACTGTGATTTATGGTACGTTAGAAATATACATTGAATTTTAATTAATGGAATGCATCGATCTACCTTATTAACATTAATTTTTTGAAAATGTATTAGTACTCTTAGAGAAAATATATTTTCTAAAGAATATTACTAAGGCCTCGGTAGTCTAAAGGCTTAGGACGCTCGCACGGTATGCAAGAGATCCGGGTTTGACTCCCGGCTGAGGTAATATTTTTCGCAATAAGAATTAATAATTTACAGATTTTAATATGTTATTCATCATTATTAAGATCGTTTCAAAGATGCGAATAAGCATCAAAAATTTGTTAAATTACCAGTCAATTTAACTCGCGATATTACTGCGGTAGTTTAATAGAGTTAGCGTTTCAAAAATTATTTCGGCGCGCGTTTCTGGGGACTACATACGTAGTATATAAATTCACGTAAGAATTATACAAGCATTAAGATCCAGCTAGACCGTTTAAGGCTTTGATTTCTATAGTTTGTGTTGTCACATATTCGGTCCTGTAATATATTATATTATTAGAAAATATATGTTAATCGCAATCTTTAAATTACGTTATTAATTAAAATTTATTTTTATTCTTTAGAATAAAATATATATAAATAAATACTGTAAAATAATTAATACAGATTTATCTGATTTTCACCGTAATCTACTTTTTATTGAAAAGTAAGAATTCTTTTTCAAAATGTGCTCATTTTAATGATATAAAGTCAGAAACATGAAAAAATATTTTTATATTGTACATGAAATCCTTGCAGATTTGGTGATTATTCTAATACAACACTTAATTAACTATGCATATAATTAAATACATAGGTAATTTTGTTCAATCAATAAATTCCAACACGATCGCAGCGATTGAACATTAACGAGGTATTAAAAGGTGATTACGTTAAAGAGCTACATTCATCGTTTCATCATTACGATATAATTTTTACAATTTTAATTATTTTAACACAACGATATAACCATATCTATAAAATTGAGAATATATAGACAATTTAATTTGTTCAACAATTTCCAATGCAACCACAGTAATGCAACATCAAAAGGTGATTATGTTGAAGCGTTATCGCACACATCGTTTTGTCGTTATAATATAATCCTTATAATTTCGGCTCCTTTAACAACGATTTAATTAACAATGTCTATAAATACACCATAATTTTTTGTTCTATCAATAATTTTGGATGTACTTCTGAAAAGGCGAACCCTCCGATTTTCTTCTCGATTGGTATACTACTGTATTTTGATGCCCTAATTACGAATATGATCGTGAAAATTACCGACAAAATCATTTTCAAGATCAAATATTTAAAAAACGATTTTTTTCATATTTTTTCACACTGTGTAGAAAATCGTGCGTCTCTTTGCAGGGGGGAGGAGGGGTGAGAGTCGCTTCGGGTGGAAAGTCAGAACCCACGTACAACAGTACAATTATGGAAGTCGTGCGCCCCTTTGCAA